TTTTGACTGTGCTGCTCTACTGGGATCTCTTGATCTCTAGTCTGAATGCTTTTGTGGCAGTTCAGGACAAAAGTTGTAGAATTTCTGTGGGAAATTTTGATGCACCTCCGGAGATCCTGAAAAAATAACTAGTATCCTAGTCTTTATCTGAAGTGGTTATATAAAGTATTTTTTGTTTTATCTGTTAATAATAAATAATTTTTTCTAATTATGACTTTTTTCATTCTGTTTGGCTGGAACAAAACTGAACACATGTTCTAGTGTGAGTGACGCTGAACAGGCACTCAGTAGTGATTAAAATAAAGTTTTGATGTTGTAAAGTTTTTGATTAAAGATCCCAAGTTTTGATGTATGGAACCCTTTCAGAAATCACTTACTGGTGTAGCTGATGTTAAAGATACAGAGGTCGCTTGTTTACTAATAATTTTCAAAGTTTTAATCTTATAGTGAGGGAGGCAAAGTCTTTTCTGCCTTGAAGTAGCTATAAAACTATATGCTGTTTAGTGCATAATGTAGGTTGATTGCAAGCCTAGTATGGTTCGTTTCTAACAATAAATCTTGAGTTTGGCTGATTTTAGTAGTATTTAACAGCAGAATTTTGATGGTTTTGCACACAAGTAATTTGAAAGAAATTGGCAACTTGAGGATCATCATAGATTTCTTATCAGTAGAAGCTTAGACTTACACGTTGGAGGTACATAATTTAGAGGATACTAGCGGATTCATAGCTTTGATAAATTTGAGAGTTAAATATGCTAGTTTTTTCAACTTCTATAACCCAAAGGTAGGCTTTGTCACTTCAGGTGAGGTCTGTCAAGGGATTCTTTGTATCCTGATTGAGAGGATCAGAGAAAGTGCTTGTGAGGCTGGACCCAGGAAGGTCAGCATTTAAGAAGTGTTTCGCTCTATTTTAATTCACTTCTGTGTTTCCTTTTTGATAATAACACTTTCCTGCTAGAAATTAGAGGTTACTTTGAGGGAAGAGGCCAAGACCCAATGCCATGGTGGAGGTAGCTTGTATGACCTGTCTCTGCCAGACAGGACTTAACTAACCTTTGATGCTAAAGGCACACATAGTCTTTTTCCTTGCTTATTGATCCTAAACTCTTCCTCTGCCATGTTCACATTTTTCCAAGTACCAAAGAATTTTTATTCCTTGATTGGCTGAATTGAAGACCTGATCTGGAAGTTTGAAAATAACTCTAGGTGGGATTCTTGTCCTCAAGCACCAACAGTTTCTGCAAATGTTGGTATGTTCCAGTGGAGGATATTACAGTGAGGCCATTTGAACTTGCTGCCTGGTTGCAATATCAGCATCACCTATTCTTTCCCTAGGTGAATAATTATCAGGTGCTGCCATGGGTTTCTGTTAGTGGGAATTCAAATCAGTGTGGTACACTGGTTTATGTCAGCACTTATAGGTACTGTAAATTCAAGTTCAATCATGTTGTTTGTTCGAAGCACAAGAAAAATAACTAGAAATTAACGAAAGATGGTGCTTAATTGTACTTCACAAAGATGTTTTTCTTAGGAGATACTATAAAAGTATGTCTCAGGCTTAGAGCTGCTGGGTTATGGTGTTCAAAAATCCTTTTGCAACCCATTCAAGGATAAGCCTCAGAATAAAAAGGAATTGAGGAAATTAGATTGTACTAATTTAATAGAGGAGCATGTGTAACAGTTCAGTGAAAATTCACTATAACATATAATCCTCAAATCACTTGGCAATACACAGTATTACATGCAGTATCTACCAATTAAGAGTTAAGTAGCAGTTTCTATAACAAGTAGGTGGTATTTAATAATTCAAGAGATCATGAATAGCTTTAAACAACAAATGGGACGATTAGACGTTAAACTGGACATATATGGTGTCAGCATCCTGAAGGATCAATACAGGTCAGTGTTTGCCCTTTCTCTCATGGTACTGTAGATTGAGGCCATAAGAAAAGTGCTGAATGGTTTTGCATCTGTAGATAATGTCTAATGCCTGTATTTCATTGTTTTAATCTACGAAACACGTATTTCAACTCTTGGCAATCCGTTAACCCTGATATATATTGGAGGGAAAGTTAAGCAATTTGACCAGCTGTTTCCAAAAGCCTGCAGTAGTGACATTTTGACATCTATTGTGATGCTGCTCTTCTCTGTTCCCTTAACTGGTGCTGGGCATGACATCAAGTATGACCTAGGAGTATAACATAATCACTGTTTCTTCAGGACTTGTTACAATTGCATGAATTTATTATGGAAAAAGAATAAAGGAAGTTAGATGTCAGAAAGTAGTAAGGACTGTTTTGACTTGCACTACTGTAACTTAAGATTGTATTTTAAAACTTAGGCCTATAAGACTGTAAGGATAAATCCTTATTCCTTTGCAAAGAATAGGTACATGGAGAAATTAAAGTAGATAGGTAGGTATACTCCTGTTAATAAACATGTTGGCTTCTTGCCTTCTGCATAGGTGTGTGCAGGACATAGGACTAAATACCTATTAAAAAAAAGGTAATTGTTCAGGTTATGAAAGTGGTGCTTCAGAACACTTTTTGTTTCATGGGGAGGGAAAACCTGTTTAGGCTTTGAGTAGAGGAGAAATATACCAGAGCTAAAATATGCATGTATAAAGGGTAAAAAACCCAACAAAATAAACAAAACCTACTCCCCAGCTGAGCTGCACTCTGAAGTGGCTGAGCACAAACTCTGTTAAGTGCTTTTCAAGTCAGGTGGCAGTCTATAGCATAGCCAGAAGGTTTTTAAGATTTAAGGAGTCTTGGAAGTTAAACAAGCAACCCCGAATGATGTAGTGTAACAAGTGTGGCATTTTCTGTTTAAATTCATCTTGTCTTTTTTTTTTGTCTTATTTTTTTTCTTTTTCTGTAAAGTGATCCCACAATAAACAGCAGTGAGGAATGTGACTTCGTGAATGTGTACTATAGGTCCTTAAAAATAGAAATTATCCCTGGAACTCTTAGATAAAACCAAAGAAACAAGAACAAAATGTACCTTTGCACATGAGAAGGGTATGGGAAAACTGGAAGAAGTTTCTGCTTGCTTGAACTGCTTCACCCATTTTTTTTCCCCATTAGTTGATAGCAGAAGTGGTTGTTAAGGCACTGGAAAAGTGGACTTTGCCCTGGTCCGTCTCTTAAAGACACTTAGTTCCTCTCTGGAAAGCACAAGTTAGTTAAATCACAAAGGGAAAAATCTTGCTATTTCTTTACCTGATGAAGGAGTTTTGTGAATAGCTGTGAACTTTGTAAGTATTACTGTGACTTTAAGCTGACATTAAAAACAGTTAAATTGTTTGCTCATGGCATTTCTTCAAAAAAAAAACCTATTATAAGTAACTCCCTCCCCCTTTCCCTGTTCTTGGTTCCAGGGAATGCTAAAGAGAGGAGTGACTTGGCATAGTTTTAAGTCTAGATTGAAGCATGTTGAATAAGTTTGTCCCATGGGAGAATTAAAAAAAATGCAGCAGATGGCAGCAATGATGCATCAAACTTCCTATCCTTAGGAACAGTGTAGCTGCAGGCACTTTCAGGCTTCATGCATTGGATAAGCTGGGGGTGGCAGGATAGTCTTCCTCTGCTCTTACTTGGCAATTTCGAAGCCAACTGTGCTGCAGAGGGCATGTATTTTCTAGCCAATTCAGCAATATTCCTCTGTGGCCACAGTTAGTGGAGTATTAGTTGCCTTAAGGTGCACAACCAGTGGAAAAATAGCACTGAATTCAATGTACATCTGAAAGAACATTTGAAATAGAGTTTAAGGGTCTATCGTGTCTTACACTCAGAATTCTGTGTTTTCAATATCTTTTAAGTAACAGAGTGGAGTGGTGCTGTAGTTGTACAGTCTGCAGGCTCTGAAGAATGAGGTCCAAATTTGAAATAATAGCAGTGAATTTGAGAGAAGGTCTGAGTGATGCGAGATAATGTAAAGGCAAATAAGAACAACTCCATTTACAGCAGAAAAAGGTTGCTGAGTATTTTCAGCTTTTTTATTGGGTTTTTTCTTTTTGAAGAAGCAGAACCACTTTTTTTAGCAACTAAAAAGACTTAAAGTAATAGAAATATTTCAGTATGTAAATACGTATGTCTAAAAATGCTTTAGTTGTCATAAGGTCGGAAGGAAGTCTGTTTATGTACATGAGTGAAAACTTATACTGGGGACAGACTTCTCTGGAAGAGGAGTAGCATTTAGTCAATAATTTTAAATATTTTTGAGGGTTTTTTTAAAAGGATACACAAATTTTTTGGAGGTTAACTATAATTAATCCTGCCACAGTACCGTGAGGTGCCTAAATGATCTTGAGGCCCCCTCCAGTACTATAAGTCACTGAGGGATTATGGTTTGTTTGTTTTTTTTTCATGCAGATAACCAATTAAAAAAAAAAAAGTCTTGGAACAGAATTAGCTTCTGATAACGTACAATGACTACTCAATGGAATACATGAGGTCTTATCTATCTTTAGCCTGTTTTTCCTAAAGAAGTAATTGTGGTGTAGGTTCAGCTTTGGGGGAAGGGAGGAGAAGGAGAAAATGGTCCGAAATGGGTTTGATTTAGACATGAGACTTAAACATGTGAAGCCAGAATGCGTTTATCCTTGTATAGGAAGTGGGAGTTAGGTTAAATATGAAGGCATGTAGTTTCTGGCACACACGGACATTGTGAAAGATGTCATTTAAATATTTTAGTCATTTGGACGAACGAAACTCTCCAGGAAATTAAACAGTAGAAGTTCATAAGACTTGGTAATACGTGTAAACAGACTGTAATCTCATTAGAATTATTTGACTTGAATGTTACAGTGCATATGATGAAATACTGAAACATTGCTCAGCAACTGGGATTTGGACTTTGAGTGGCAATGACATATGAAACCCCAGCATGGTTTTAAAGTGTGCTATTTTTGGCAGTTGGGTGTTGGCTTGTCTCCTCAGTAGCCATAGAAAGTTAGTTTAGTGTAAGAGGAAGGTGATTTGCAATGAGAAGACCCTCTGACACTACTTATTAAACATGGGCTGCTGCTTCAGTAAAGAATTGAGTAACAGCACGAGTGAGGAGAAAACCAGCTTGTTACAAAAATCTGTGGAAGAGGAAGCACCAGAGTCAAGGATAAGTAAAACTTTATCTTCAATTTTTGGAACTGTGAAAAGCCAGGATCTGCATACAGTGGGAAGGACAGTTAACGGGGCGGCTGCGACAGTCGGCAGTGAATGCGTTTGTAGCGATGATTGCGCAGCGTCAAATTCTAAATCTGGCTTTTTGGGTAGAAAAGGGAAATATCCATCATATAAAAGCATGGGGAATACTCCCCATGAGAGCTCGAGGAGAACGTATGACAGACCTTTTAGCTTCTTTAATTCCTTTAGTCACCTCTTGAAAGTCTCTGGTACGTATGGAAATCTGCAGAAAAGTGAAGAAAAGAAAGACAGGGTTATTAAAAAAAGAGCACCTAAAAAATCTAATAGCGATGATCAGCACATGAACAATATAGAAAACATTAATAGTAATATTAATAATGAAAATGTAGCTGTACAAGAGCATTGCTTATTTGATCATATTTCGAATTCACGTGTACCAGACATCCTGGACAAAGGGTTACAGAGTGAAATTTCCTTAAATAGAAATTTTCTGGAGGATTATGCAGTGACGTGTGACCATTCAAGGCAAAATGAAACAACAGTAAACGTTAAAGACAGCAAGAGTGACAGCCTACAGAAAGTTTCAAGTTCATATAGAGAGGTGCCTCCAACACTTTCCTATCTTGATGTAGACAACAGTCAAAATGTGAAAGACAGGGAGTTTTACAGTATTTGTGTTGTAGATGCAGAAGATCTGACAGGGGACAAAGAGGTGCCAGCTACTGTGCATGAAGAGACTGGAGCAGACATAGATAACTCAGCTGTTACTGATGAAGGAATGTGCAGCATGGCACGACCTCTAGACACTGGGAAGGAATTTCCAGTGCAGCGATTGGCACAAGTGGAAGCTAAGTTTAATTCACAGGAAGAACTGTTTGAGTATAAAAAAGAGGATAGGCCAAACATGCAGAAAAAGGACACAAGCAAATATTGTAGCATAGACATCCAATCTTTTGATAACTTACTGACTAACAGGTGTCAGGTGCATAAGTTAAATACTGACAATACAGTAACAAATGTCTTAAGAGCAAAAGTATCTGATGAAATCATCCCTGAGAATCAGCAAGAGGAGGTGTATTCCATAGGTAGTGCTGTCAGTTGGAATGAATCACTCCATGCAGCTTGTAATTCTGTGAAGCCTGTGGATGCTGCTGAAAAGGACCACTACAGCCCTAACTCAGAAAAGGTGAAACACAGTGATTATATTTCCAGTGTCTTGTTAGAAAATGGAGTATGTAATTCAGGAAAAACTGAGGGAAGTAATCATTCTGATATTGTACCACTTGGTTTAAGTGGGCGTCCCTCAAGTGTTGTAGAGCAAACAAATACTAAACAGATGGCAGAGAACATGAGGGGTAACTTTAAATTATCACTAGAGTTATGTGAAATGGACAATGTAGAAAAACTTGCTGAAAAAGTCTACTTTCTAGAGCCAGAAAGTGAAGTAAACTCAAATGTGGAAAAGAAAACACTTGAAAGAACTGATGGTGATAGCCAAATGTTTGCACCAGAGTGTAGTGAACATCACAGCAGTTTTGAAGAGTCCTTGAAAGATGGAGAGAAATGCACAGGTACAATTTTGCATAGCTGTGAAGCTTTGAATACGACTGAAATGCACAAAAACTTGGAGGAAAGTTCTGATTTTCAAACTCAAATTAAGGGCTGCAGTGAAATCAAGACATCGGCTGAAGCTGCAGACCATGGTGGCACAGAGGGAGGTGTCTGTGAGCATGTCACTGATGACTTGACTGAGGAAGCTGGTAACTTGAGCAGAAGTAGCCCGTGGGTAAGTGCTGGCATTTTGACATCTCATGAACAACATAACCCACGCACAGATGACATGTTCCTAAAGGAAAACAACCTAGAATGTCAAGTTTCACAAGAGTCACCAGGGAGTAAAGGTAAAGTATGCAAATATTCAAATTCAGATAACAGTGCCTCTTCTGTGCCTGTGGAATGTGAGGATATGAATAAAATAGACATGAACTGTAGACAAGATGAACAGGATGCATATTTCTTCCACGCAGTAGAAAATCAATTGAGTGCAAGGACGGAGTCAGCCAAAATAGCTGGGGATGTAGTAGAATCTGTAAAAGAGACAAAATTTGAAGTTCACCTCAATGAGTCGATTGATAACAATGCTGAAAATATAAAACCAAATTTGGATGCTGACACTGTTGATCGTGATAAAGGCATCTTCAATTGCAATGGAGGCTTGGCTCATGGTCAGAACGTTCCCTCTGACTCCACTGAACCTGCAGCCATGGACAGTTGTACATACAAGAGCATAAAATTAAAAGATGACGCTAAAAATCTGGACGATACCAATCATCTCTTACATAAAGCCCATAATTGTTTACCATCATCGTGTCAAAATGCATGTTCTCATGTGCATGACAAACCAGTGGAAGAGCCTGAGTTACGTCACTGTGCCAGTCCAGAGCCAGAGGTCGGGAACACTGCAGTTCCTGTTGTGTCTTTTACTGAAGAAAGATCAGAAACTCCTGAAAAAAGTATGTGTGATATTAATGAATGTAATCTTCAGGATAGTGAAGTAAAACAGTGTGTCAGTACCCACTCAAAGCAGAACCTCACTGGTTTTAGTGTATCAACTGGGAATATAGAACCTTTTACCAGCGGGAATTTGAAGCTGTTAGAAGCCAAGACTACTGAATTGAAAAACACCAGTTACACATTAAATCCTCAAACAAATGACTTGACCACAACCTGGGAACAGATGCAGCCAGATCACAAGATTTTCTCGAACAAAGAGCTTGGAGTTTGTGTTGACCCAAAGCAGGTAGACAAATACGCTGCTACTCCTTCCTATGAAATACAGAGTGCTGCTCCTGTTGCCGCAGGATTTCAGCAAGGCAGTGAGCAGTGCGTGTTAGATCTGATGGAAGATGTACCCAGTGACCAAGAGCAGCACTCCTATGAACTGGACAGACAAAATCCCCATGTTGAAATGTGGCCACATCTCATCAGTCTTCAGAATGGCAATGATGATTGGACAAATCAGCTGTTTTCTGACACGGTTCCTGCTGGTAATGGTGAATATCTGGTGGGCTTTTTATGGAATAATGCAGTTTCTAATGATACCATGAAGAATGACAGACTTTGTATAGTTAGTGAAAACTTCCAGAATGAACCTGAAGATTTAACAAGTGCTTCATACGCAGTGGAGAGATACCCGTATCAGCTGCTAGCACCAGAAAATGCTGGTACTTGGGGATGGCAAAATAAAGACGAATTTGTAAGTATTCTGCAGAAGTGATTTGATGTTAAAGCTTAAAGCTGAAGCTAGAAGTTTGACTAAGCCAAGTCAAACTGTGGTTTCTTTAGTTAAACAGATCATGTTATTTTGTCCTGAAGCTGACTATTCCCTTTCCTTTGCAAAACCAAATGCTGTACAGAATACAGAAGTTCAAAATGTTGCTGAATATTAATATATTTTTTTCTTTTTGTTTCTGTTTACTTTGTGTGAAAGTTTAAACGTTGGGCAAAGTGACTTGATTGCAGATTCTCAGTTCCAGATAAACGCTTCAGTGTGGGAAAGGAAGCTTTCTGCAGACTGTTAATAGTGCTCTTTACCTTTGTATAGGAAGAAATGTTTGTGGATTTCCTGAAGTTCTTCTTTGGTAGCAACTAGGAAATATTTACTCACCTCTGGAGGTGATCTGAAGTGCTGGAGAAAGGAGTGGCTCCAAGAGAAGTGAGGGGAATGAGCTGGGCTGGATCTTGGAAAGCTGGGGTAGGAAACAAATGAAGCCGTCAGGACAGAGTCCTGAGTAACGAGCTCTGGGGGCCCTGCTTGAGCAGGGAGGTTGGACTGGATGACCTCCAGTGGTCCTCTCCAACCCTACTTACCCTGTGAAAGCCAACCTGCAGCAGCTGCTGCTCCTTTTCCTTCCCTGCTGAGCAGAGCCAGTGCTGGATATTGTTCCCCTCACTGACTGTTGGAGCAGTTGCTCTGACCTTGCCCAGCAGTCACAGTGTGGGCAGTGGGTTGAACTTGGGGCTGTTTGCTGTCTCCTGGGGGAACTTTGAATATTAAAAGTGGAAACTGATGGACTTGCTGTCATCTCTGAATAGTTACTATTCAGGTAGTTGTGTCAAACACTTCCACTTTTTAGAAGTCTTTTCTCTGTTGCTCAATAGGTGTGTTTGAGATTTTTTTAGATCTTTTTGCTTTCTGGATATATTTTCTATGCACTGTGATAATAACTGTCTGAATGCATGTGTTTAAGAAGATTTAAAGCTTCATGGAGTTTTGGAGTGCCTGTCTTAAATGCTACAATGTTCCTAGAATCCATAAATTCACAAAACAAATTTTCAATGAGCTTTTTTAGTGTGTCTTAATATGAACAATCCTCTTTCCCAGTATAATTGTATTAAAACATTCCAAGTGTATTCTTTGTATGGAATAATTTAATGCATTTTGCTCAAACATTAGCAACACAAGAGAAAACTTTCTCATGTAACTATCAAAAAAGTATTGTAGATGCTTGCACTGCAGAGAGCAATCTCTCTGAAGCACAGATATAATCATTTATGTGATGGTTGTATATAACCATATATAATCATTAAATGTGTGCATTTTATAATCCAGGTTAAAGGAGATTGTCTTCATGATTTAACTGGATCTGATAATTCATCTCTTCTGTCCTAATGCACTGTTCCTCCTCTTGAAGTAATGACAGAAGTTGTCATGCACATCTGTTTGCTTTCAATTTTCCATAATGCTTCATCAAGAATGTTACATGTTTATATAAGTTTAGAAAAAAAAAAAACCCTTGTACTTTGGTATTTTCTTGATTATTTTTTTCTTTAATGTTATTTTGCAGAAACAGATACAATACCAATATAGTCAACATCAGGTAGACATGTATATTAGATCACTGCCTGAAGTCTAGATCAAGTATGGGTTTGAAATGTTTGTTGTTGTTTGCTTTGCTTGGCTAGCCTTTTCTGATGATTCTTAATCAGGTAAATGAATTCCATGCAGCACAATTCAGTTGGTTTTGTACCTGAAATGATTATGGGAATTCAGTTAATATATTCAGATGTGAAAAAACTTGACAGTACAGTCTTGAATTGTATGTCTGATACTGTTATTTGAAACTGTACATATCTACACACAGATGCATGCTGTGCATCCACAAAGTGCATAATCAATTTCTTTTTGTAGGAGTCAACCAAGGTTTCTGAGTTAAACCCTAATGCAAAGGTGTGGGGAAATCATATGTTACACTTGGAAGCAAGTGGTGCCACTGATGGTAGTGTGAGCAAAACGTGGGAAGAAATACCTGACCAACCTCCAGATTCTTGTAAAGAAGGTATGAACGACATTTTCTAGCTGTTGCTCAAGCGAAAGTTAAAACTCAGTGCAGAATTTTCTCAATTTTAGTTTTCTGTTAAAAAAAATTAAAGCAAACGTGTAAGCAACTTTATTTCAGATTTAGTTGTAACTGTGAAGTCACAGTGACTAGAAAGAATGCTTTCTGAGTGTTTGTCGTCTGTGCTGCAGGACTGGATGCCAACGGTGATGGCGACAAAAAGCATCAGAATGCAGTGCTGACAGAGCTGCCGGAGCCGTCACCAGCTGTTTCGGTGTCAGACCAGACAGATATGAACCCTTTGGCTCTCGATCATTCTGAGTATGAGTCTATGCATGAAACCACCCAGACAGGTAAGAGAAAGCTAGTGTTTACTTGGACTTAGTTTTAAAAAAAAAAAAACAAACATGTGTTTTGAGTTGAACAGTGAGCATCTAAAAAACCCCCAAAAGCCCCCCCAAATTACGCCACTTTTGTTACTCAAGATTTGCATGCTGTAAACAGACCCTAGAAAATCCTATCTCTTCTGCAATCACACTTAGACATGTTTGGCGACCAGTCTCGTCCTGGTATAAGTCTTATGAGGTGCTGCACAAACATTCTGGATTTAACTGAGTATTTTCTGGAACGTGGTTCTGAATGAAAATCCCTAGACATTTACATTTAGATATCTACCTCTTTAAGCTGCACGTTTCTCGTTGGGTCAGGTGGTGAGGTGAGATTCACGTAGCGTTTTTGTCTCAAGTAGTAATGTTAATGTGTGGAAAGACCAGTCTTGTACTTGAAATACTAAAATAGGCAACATTTTAGTCTAACTTCTTTGAATTCTTATTTAATGAACTTTCAGGGGTTTTTTTCAATGCAACTGGTAGTAGCTGTAGTCTATACCAGATGGTATGTTTTAAGAAGTTTCTGGAAAGTAGTGTAGAGATTCAGCCATGCTTCTATTTCACTGAAAGGGACAGAAGGTCTGCAAGATGCATGTGGGATTACTACTTGAACTGAGGGATGGGAAGGAGAGGAAAATGTGCTGGGTGTTTCTTGAGATTCACGGGAGGTCTGTTCCTTGTTCATTGTGCTTAGCTGATTTTATAACATGTATTTAAAATTACCAGTATAGCATCCATAATAGCTGGAAATCAAGACAAGTAAAATCAGACACGGTCGTGGGATCATCCTTGCTTATGTTGAAAAACTGAAAGCTCTCTTTGACTCTTCTACTTAAGGGTACTATTGGGGAATATTAAGTAATAACTAGATGGCAAGTAGAAAGTTGTATTAAAGGTGCCTCACAGTCTAGAAGGGAACAGTATTCTTCAGATTAGTGTTAAAACTTGCCAGCGTGTCCTTTATGTGCCCAGAATAGTTAACTTTTAACAAGAGTCAGATAGTGTTGTAAGCAGCTGAACAGCACACTGGATCTGTTCCACCTGGTGAATAGTGAGTGACACAGGTGGTCTCAAGTCTGAAATCTGATTTTTAATTTAATAATTATTTTTTAAAATGCATATAATTTTGGTCCTTGCTGGCTTTTGGACAAGAAAGAAAGGGGAGATGGGGAAGGAAAATAGTGGTTAGAACATAAGTGTATTTCTCAGGTGTTGACCTTATCTTGTTCAGAGGAGAACACGTGAAGGACAGCGTGGTGGGAAGAAATTAGAACTTGCTTTAGGAAGAAGAATGGTTAAGGAAAGCTGAAGAAAAGGATGAAAGTTACTGAAGGGAAGGGTATAGAGGGCAATACTTTTTTAAAAAAACTAATTTACGTACGTATATATTAAATAACATGTTAGTAGATGTTTTATAAATCTCTAAAAGCCACACTAAACTTCTAATCTTTAAACAGTTCTCCCACTGGCACAGTTAGTTTAACCTCTACTGACATTAGTATGCTGGGTCTAAATTAAAATGAACATAAAATCCATGTTTTCCATGTGATGATAATTTTGAAACTCTAAAGTATAAGAAAAAAATTAATTTTGCCTTCTTAACCAAAAGATTGTCAATTACACTTGTGTTGCTAGTAGATTGTATATCTGTTGATATTTTATAACCTCATTTTTGGAACTCTTTTCTGAGTTAGTGTATCAGTAATTTCGAGTGAGGGCTGAAGTATGGAGCGCCTTCATTACGTTGCTCTCTTGCTGCATTAGTCAGGGCTTAGTCAGCTAGAAAGAGGTTAGTTTTCTGAGAATGGAGGACAGGTCTACAAGCTAAATCAGTTCAGTATTTACTTCGAGATGGGCTTGTAGCTGTTCTTCTAAAATGCTTCAGATTTTCATGTATTTGGAGAACAGAGGTTAATAAGTGAAGTCAGACATGTTTTCTCTTTTCTGTCTTAAATAAAAAGTGTTCCCATGCAGTTTTGGTGGTTGGTGAACTAATACATAATGAACATCTATTGAATCTGAAAATTTGTTACTAGTTATATAGTGACTAATAGACATGATGGTTTGATTAAAATATCTATCGTGTAATACAACAGAACTACATTTTAATCCGAAGTATTTTAATTCTTAGGTGGAAACGAACAGTTGCAGCCAGAAGGTCAGGAAGATTTACGAGAATTACTGAAAAAGACACTGGAATTCTGTTTATCTAGGTATGTATATACGTAAATGTAGCAAGCTGGGGGATAACCAACAAGACCTAGTACCTAACTTGGGATGTGTGTTAATGTATTTTTCATCTGTCACTTAAAACTAAAGTGGAAAGGATGAGAATTTGGGGAAATTAACATGCTAATTTCAGAGTATCGTATTGATGTACCTCTTAAAGCTTACATGAAACTTAAACATGAAACCTAAAGCATAAACTAGCAAATATGTTGAATTGAGAGTAGCTATGAGCAATTACAGATCAGATGAATTTTTATGACCTTTACTGTTTTTGGGTTTTTTGGGGGGGTTTTTTTGCAAATTAAAGCTGAGAAACTTAAGCTTTATTTAAGCCAATGATTTTAATTAGTTAGTGAAAATGCTGAAGAAATCTACCCTCTACTATGTGATGAGTTTTTGTTTCAAGTTGTATCTGTGACACTTGTCCATTTTTATTTTTTTTTCTCCCAACAGAGAAAATCTTGCCAGTGACATGTACCTTATATCACAGATGGACAGTGATCAGTATGTGCCAATAATGACAGTAGCAAACCTTGATCATGTCAAGAAACTCAGTACTGATATGGATTTGATTGTTGAAGTGCTGAGATGTAAGTAAAAGCTCCTCAATTTCAGAAAGCATTTTGATTATTGCCATAGGACTAATAATCTGAATTTTCAGTCTTTCCTTTTTAATGTATTGCAATAATAGGCCGTTATTTTTCTGTAAAGCATTAAACAACCCAAGCAGCTTGCAGTTTAGACCATCACAGTTATAGAACTGTATTTTTATCAAAGCTACTTCATATTGCTGGTATTGGATAATGATCTGTGCAAATAAGAATAATGTGAGTTTAAATTGTGGGATATGGTGGGACAACTCATGTAATTGGAGGATCACAATGGATGTCTCAAAGCTGTTTTGTAAAGATAGGTGGGGAAGAAGAGATGGAGAAGTCACTCTCTTTTAGCAGAATCTTGAATGTATAGAAGTCAACTACATCAACTGGAAGCTCTTTGCAATACCTCTGGGTCAAGCTCAGAGGGGTTATCTCCAAGGGGGATCTTACAGTACCTCCAAACCAAGACAATAAGACGAACAAAGCAATATTTGGGTCACTTAAGCAAGTTTTGGATCAGCCAAACCTGGTTTTTACAGGTGACTTCAACTTCTCAGACATTTGTGGGAAGAACAATACAGCAGCTCATGTCATCCATCAAGTTTCTGGAATGTGTAGAGAATTGTTTTCCATACAAGTGTTAGATGTGCCGACCAGGAATGAGGCACTGCTGGACTTGCTACTCAGAAACCAAGAGAACCTGCTTTGTAATGTCTCAGTGATAGCCTTGGCTGTAGCAATCACAGCATTGTGGGGTTTGGGGTCATGCTGAGCACACTGAGGGTTGGTACTAAGGTTTTAGATTTTAGAGAAGCAAAATTCAACTTGCTCAGAGCACAGTTAGGAGGGATTCTGTGAGAAGCTTCCATGGAGGATAAAGGAGCTAATGAGTGCTGGGAGTTCTCTCCTGGAAGCACAAAAACATTTCACTTCCTTTAAAGGTAAGGAAAGTAGGCGGATCAAGAGACCTCCTTGACTTAACTCTGTGCTTCTAAGTCTGCTCAAAACCAAGAGAGAGGCATACCAGAGATAGAGGAGTAGATGAATACCTGTTGAAAGCTACAAGGGCATTGCCAGGGTGCACAGAGATGCAGTTAGAAAAGCAAAAGCTCAGCTCAAATTGAATTTGGCCAGAGATGTCAAAAGCTACAAGAAAGGGCTCTTCAGGTATGTAAACAATGAACAGAAACAGAAGGAAAATATTGGCCCTGTGTTAAACAGGAGAGGTGAACTGGTCACCAATGACACTGAAAAGACAGATTCTTAACATTTTCTTCACCTCTTTTACCAGCACTGATGGGCCCCAGACCTTGGGAACAGGTTGACCCAGGTTGATGTAACCACAGATGCACTGTCAGTGAAGGAAGAGTTGATGTGTGAACTATTTCAGGGGCTCGACCCCTACAAATTGAGGGACCCTGACAAATATCCATCCGTAGGTGTTAAGAAAGCTGGCTGACATCATTGTGAGACCACTTTCCATAATCTCTGAGAAGCTGTGGAGATTAAGGGATGTCCCAGAAGAGTGGAAGGCTTATGTTACCCCCATCTATTAGAAGGGCTTTAAGGAGGACCCAGGAAATTACATGCCTAACAGTCTTACTTCATTTCCTGGGAAAGTTATGAAACAAATCCTCTTGGGGACTATCACGGGTCAAATGAAGCACCTGGTTGTAAAAAATCAACTTGGGTTCACCAAGGGCAAATTGTGCTTGACACACCTGGTCACCTTCTATGACAAAGACCTTATTACCATGTTCTGGTATTTAAACTGTGACTGCAAAGAACATGAAGACTCCTTTTATACAAAGAGTCATGTGGTAAAGATGGGGGATAGTGGGTCCAAGTTACTTCTTGGGAGATTCCAACTGGACACAAGAGGAACATTTTCCACAATGAGAACAATTAGTCATTGGAATAATCTTACCAGGGAAGTAGTGTGATCCCCAACACTGGATACTTTGAAGATTCAACTGGACGGGGAACTGGGCCATCCTGTCTAGACCATGTTTTTGCTAAGAAAAGTTTCATCAGATGGTCCAGGGGTCCAACCTGGTATTATGTGTTTCTGTGATTAATTTCTCAGAAAAGGCTGGTGGACGTTACCACTAAGGTAGGAATCAAAAAAGAACATGACTCAACATGTGCTTTAGAAGAAAATGCTATTGAATTGGGAATTTCTAGGCTGGCAGAGTGTGGAAATTATAAGGAACATGTCTACTTGGTTTCATATGTTTGAAAGTATTCTCAGTCATTGTCTGCTCATTTCTTAATGTTTGAAAATATTTGAAGCTTTGCATTGCATAAGTGTGTCCACAGCATCTTCTGGTGTGCAAAGCTATTATGATTGCTGACCTCTGAAATACATTCTTGTGTCTTCTCTCTTAGCGTTGCCTTTAGTTCAAGTGGATGAGAAGGGGGAAAAAGTTAGGCCAAATCAGAATCGCTGTATTGTGATTTTACGTGAAGTACCTGAATCTACTCCCATTGAAGTAAGTGATTCCTTGTTATGTAGAGAATACTTTTCCCTTAGGATTTAGAAGTTAGATTTCTTCCGGATTTCAATAAGCATATTACATTTCTCTCAGCATTTCCGAAGCTTAGTTTATTGTGTTTATTTGGAAAATAAAGATGTTTGATAGGACCATGTTGCTCATAGGAAGGCTGTGGTAGAACCTGTAACTCTGCAGAGGACTGAGAAACTGACAGTGCTGTCTTTGGTGGAGCTGCCATCATTTTCTTGGGCACTGCCTTATCCATATGCACTTAGTGGATAAATAGCAAAAAAGACGAAGGAAGATAAGGCTTAGCCTAGAAAATACCACTGTTGAACCTTGAAGCTTGTTCAAGCAAAGTACTTAAAGCTTTGCAAACATGTCCATAATGCTGAGTTGAGAGCTGTAAATAAGTCACTTAAGGATCTCCACTGGCTTGTGGAACGAGTGCAACAGTAGAGAACTTGATTCTTTAAAAGATCCTCAATGCAACTCTGATGTAGGCAGGACTATGACTAACGGGAATATTAGAAAAGATTATGGGGCTGTAGATGAAACAATCCTGAATTTTCAAAAAGGAGGAGAAGGCACAGATTCTTGATGATAGGTAGATATTTTATTTTCCCCTCTGTTTAATTTTACAAGGAAGAGTAAAGGTTCTGAAAGAGTTGCTCTTCTTGATAGTCTTCAGACAAAAATCGAAGTACTACACTTTAAAAACTTACAACAAAAAAATAAGAGGCCTTAATAAATAGGAACATGATAAAATGAATTGGAAGGAAAAAGCTGGATATTTACTATGTAGGTAGCTTAAAGATAATAGCCCCTTCTAGCTTTCCAAGTGAAATGAAACTTTTCAAAGACTACCTAGCTTTTAGTATTGTAGATTCTTTTTTTAATAGATATATTTATTTTTGTTGCTGTCATCAGTTTGTCACGTTGGATGTGTTACACCTGGGTGGTCATTCTTAAATGCTTCAGACAAAGTTCTGAGTCTTTATTTTCAAAAGAATTTGTCTCAAGTGAAGTGTTTTATACATTGTGTTTAAATTTGACAGACTGAAAAAATCTAGACTTAACTGGCCAGATTTAATAGCCTACGTTTTCTGGTACAGCAGTGTCAGGCTTTATTTAAGCAACAAAGTTCCAAAATACTGTAAAGGCCTCCCAAGTTGTGTTGCCTTCTGATGCTGCTCACCTCAACTCTGTGAGGAAAAACAAAAAGTATGTAAATAAATTAAAATATGAAGTCCAATGTTTGTGTTTTCTCTAGAAACTAACAGATGATGTTTAAGGTAACATAAACCCTGTTTCAAATACGTGAATCTGTAGGCATTTGAGTTGAAGCTTATCTCCGGGTTTCTGCTGAAAGGGCAGAATTGAATTCTCCTGTCCTGTGCCATATGCACCGGTTTTTGTGAGGCTCCATGGTTTTAGGGACTGAAGAGAAATAGACATCTTTCTGCACTTGATGCCAAGGTTAAATGTCTCTCTATGGCCTAAATAGTTTATCCCCCCATATTTAAAGGGAGCAGGCAACTTCTCTTGCATTATGGCCTTAGACAGTGCATGTTTGAATTCCTCCTAGCTAACAGGTAGATTGGAGAGAGCTATCGCTGCTGCAGGTGTTCTGAACTCCTCAGTTCTGTTTTGTAAGTCTGAAAGTACTTTCTCTCTTTCTTGCTTGGAGTCCCAAAGTTTTGCACTTCAATTTGATGTTTTCTTCTCTCCATCCCTTCTCTCTACCTTGTTATCAAACCACTTTCTTCAGGAGGTTGAAGCACTTTTCAAAGGAGACAATTTGCCTAAGTTCATCAACTGTGAGTTTGCCTATAATGACAATTGGTTCATCACATTTGAATCCGAAGCCGATGCACAGCAGGTAACACTATTTTTTGAAGCATATTAGAATGTAACAGTAAACAAGGACAAGATGAGGGTGAATTGACAGGTCTTAAACAGTATTACAAATGCATAACAATGAAAAAGAATAACACCCAAACCTCTAAAAACAGTAATGCTTCCCCTGAGCTAGTACTACCAGTGCTACTAAACATAACTCTTAAGAGTTTTAACTTGTTCATCTTTATCTTTGGTGTCCTGGCCAAAGCTATGATTTTTTTGTACAGAGAACATTGATATTTTGGGTGAACCATTGAAATGCTTCAGTCATAAGCATTAAAGTCTTGTTTTAATGCTACTGAAGCACTTCTGCAATGATAAATTTAGGTGAATCCAGATTATATATGAGTTTTCTGTAGTGTAACATTAGCAGACACTCCAGGAATTATTGGTAGGTCAGCCTGTCAAAATGTAAGTTTCCTATGTTTAAATTATATGTGACAAATAAGATAATTACTTTTTTTAAAGGCTTACAGATACCTTAGAGAAGAAGTGAAAACTTTCCAAGGAAAACCAATTAAGGTAAATAGAGCTTTTTGGGGTTTGGGGGGAAGCTTGTGTCTGTGTTCTGGTTTTTGTGGCGTTCACTGTGTTTTCTAATATAAATATAAATGGTGCAGTCTCAGGAGCCACGTGACCTGGAGTTGGGTTTTGAAATGTAGCACATACAATGCTACTTCTCCTTTTCCTCCTTTCTGACAGTGGCATATCCAGCCCAGCATCAGGCAGCAGGGAAGCATTGAGCTGTTCCTACTGTCCTTGAAGGAGAAAGCAGTTACTGACAAGTGTCCATTTAAAATTTGAGAGCTGCTGGTTTGAACCATCCTGATATAATTGGAAAGGATGCTGTAGTAAATAATCTCATCTCCTTTGCAGGCAAGGATAAAAGCAAAGGCAATAGCTATAAACACATTTTTGCCAAAGAATGGATATAGACCTCTGGATATGAACCTCTACACGCAGCAGCGTTACACAACCTCCTTTTACATACCTCCAGTATACAGTCCCCAGCAGCACTTCCCATTGTACAGCTTAATTGGCCCACAGACCTGGTCAGCCACACACAGCTACCTTGACCCTTCATTGGTAAGTCTCTTGATTGTGAAGCAGTTCTATTCTTTTCAAAGTTTGGTACTATTTTCTTACAAAGTACTGTGGTGTAGGAAGCATATGTGTCCTGAAAAGGGGAGTTTAAGATTCTAATTCTTCTTGAAAAACAGTCCTTCAGAATCCTTCCCATGGTGTACGAAGTTGGATTATTTGAAAATTGTATGTGGTCTCAGGCTGGAGTGTGATTCTTTTTGAGGCAGTTCTTTAGTAAAGATTATTAACTAAGCATTACCAAAAGAAATCTTAGTAAGAATTTCTTTTAGCAATGGCTTAAAGCTTCTTTAGAAATTAGATCTTCAGAATATGTATGTGAATACCAGAAAAAGCAATTCTGATATGTACAGAATAAACTTAATGGAATCAGATAGATAAGGATAATGTGATATCTTGATCTTCTAGCAGGAAATCAGACTCTAGGTTGACATGCTGAATTACGCTATTTGTCATGTTCTTAAGCAAAATATTTTCTGTGCAAAAGTAACATGTCTTTTGGCAATAAAAAAATAAAATTACTTTTGCCAGTTACAAAGATCACTTTTAAATTACCTTTTTTTTTTTTTGTAAATTTTCTTAAGGAGGCTATTGGTAAGCCTTAAAGCTAGAGTGATAGCAATAATCCTTATATATTCTAATGGGACACCCTTTTCATCCTGCAGTCCTGCTTCCATCTTCTCCATTGTGACAGTCCCATCAGAATTACCTTGACCCCTTTTAGTCTGCCTTTGTTATTCTACAAAAACTAACAGGAACATAGTTTCCTGTAATGACTGGGAGACTAAGGGTTCCTAGCTGGAGTCTCTTTCTTTCCTCTGGAAATGCCTCTTTACCTGCAGCTTAAAGAAACAAGGGTAGCAATGCTCAAAATTAGAAGTTCTTTAAAGGTTTTTTGGCAGAGGATTAACATGTCCTTGAACAAACTTGAGTAAACTTCTTGTGTACTGAATAGCAAGCTAATTAAAAAGTTGGTGTGCTAAAGACTTCACAGACAGGGAAAGTAACCAGAGCCCTTGCAGGGGAAGGCAAAAACTACCTTGCTAAGCAGCAATGAACGTGAATGTTCTTGTAGATAGACTGACTACTGCAGTCTTGCTGTGGGATACTGAAGTAGCTGGATGAGGCTGCTGTAGAAGACATAGATTAATTGGCCAGAGCATACTGTGTACCTGCCTTATGTTGTCCTGGAACTTTTTGTGTTCCAGAAAACTTACCAGTCCTGTCCTTTGGGGAAGATGTTACAAGTTTACCAGCATTAAAGAGCTTGTACCTTTCTTAGTCAAAACAGAAAATTAACTGTCTGAGCTTTATCTCCCACTGTTTTGCAGTGCATTGTCATTGGTTAGTTCCATTTTATGTACATGAATGTAACATGATGTTTCTTGATTCTTTTTTAGGAAAAGCTATATTTGAATAGAAATCACTTGAGGAGAACAGGGACCATGAGGAGCCATGACACAGGAATAATTTTCATGAGACAGGGTTACAGTTTGCATGTAGAGACTTGAATGAAAATATTGCGGGTTTGATCCCTGTATGAGTCATTCTCTTAGGAGTTGGCCTTGTGATCCTTGTGGGTCCCTTGCAACTCAGGATATTCTGAGAACTCTGTGGTCTCTGAAGCAGAAATTTCTCTCTTCTGCTTCATCATAAGCACTAACAGTGCTTTGTCTCATCTCTAATTTGAGGTTGAATACACTCAGTAGTGTGGGCATACCATTTTTGTTCTGAAACTAGAATATGGCAACACATGTCCTCAATTCTAAAACTACCTAGTTCTTCATCACGTACTTAATAGTGTTTGAGAAAATATCTAGTTTGTCCTGCTTGGGAGGGGAAAAAAACTTAAAAAGTATGTTTGAGGCAGGTGACTTCTGTGGAGATGCTTTTGGTACTATTGGAAAATGAAAAAAAAAAACCAACAAACATTTTTTTCTTCCAAAAGGATCATCCATCATTATAAAGAAAGAAGGGTTGAACATTGCTAAGGTTCCTTTAAGCAGTGAATTAAACTTGTTTTCCTTTAGTATGTTTAGTGTCTTCTTGTTATTCAGACTTACTAGCTTTTATGGAATTTTGCAGCATTCAAGTTGTAACTCTGAAACCAGAAAGTACTTCAAAGCAGTATTTTGATGAAACTCTGTTCCAAAAAGAGATTTTTTGCACTCCTAATGGCCTTTTTGTGGAGTCTCAGGTAGCATTTGCTGTCGTGCATGCTGAGTTAGGCTAACAGTCGTTTGACACGACAGTTTTGGTGTTAAATTTTCTTTTCCATCGATAAGTGATTTGTCTTAACTTCTGCAAGAAAACTCAGTCAAGTTTAAAGATAACTTTATAGGAAATGGTGTTATGCCCAGCTGTTTTTCGTCATTTAATAAAGTGTAGAAAGATTCTTACTGTTCTGCGTTGTAGTTATTTTCAGGGGGAGAAGACTAGCAAGCATTTGCTGATGCTAAAAGTAACATGTCCTAAATGAAACTCACTTGTACATTTAAATAAAAAAGACTAAAGTGTGCTAGTGAGGTTGGAAAAATTACTTTGAACATGCTTCAGGTTTTGAGATATCTTGTTAATACAAGACACTGATATGCACCCACGCCAGGAAATCTTTTACTAATATTGCTTTTTCAGACAAGAAGACAGTATTTCACTTGTGGAATAAGGTGGTAAGATATGAAAAGCATCAGAGCTCCACTTAACATCCATTTATTCTCTGGGCTTTATTTAGGTATCACATGAAAGTGAAATGAGTAACTAAAAAGACTTTTTTTTCTTTTTAGGGGGGGATTCACATATGCATTTTTAGAAAAACAATTACAGACTATGTAGATTAGAGATTCTTTGACAAAAAAGTATCTGTGTACTCCAAAGTCCTGTATAGGATGGTGTGAAATAGGAGAGTTATTTAACTTAGCTCCAAGAATTTTGACTTGATGTTTTTCAATCCTCTTAAATTATCAGGAGTTGAATATGTGTAGTGGCTGTCTTCTCAAAAAACAACATCTGTAAGTTGGTTACAAGGCACTGGACAAATGCTTTATTGCTGTTTGAGCCAATCTTTTAAGTACTGTCCCGCAGGGAATGACGTAAAATACAGGGTTCAGAAAAAATAATACTGATTTTCCTTATGAGTGATGAGCATGCAATATGTTTTTTTAGGTAACACCATTTCCAAATACTGGATTTATCAATGGGTTCACATCTCCAACCTTCAAGCCTGCTGCTTCTCCATTGACAACACTCAGACAATATCCTCCCAGGAACAGGCAAGTTCAGCTATCTTTTAACAATGTACAGCTGTTGTATTATCTGGCAGGTGGGGTTTTCATCTGCTTATATTAGTAACACCAGCTACCTTGAGGTTACTTGTGAAACTGAAACTGTTACAAGGTTAAGTGAGGCGAAAGGGCAGATGGTGCTCCTGTTGTTAATGGGGGTCCTGTTTCAAAATGTAAATGGACAGTCTGAAAGCTGAGAGCTTGTCTGTTCCATGATTTGGGGTATTCAGCTGAAATATTCTGAAAGACGACATGATCAGCAGGATTAGTCACATAGTATTTTCCATTTCAAGTAGGTTTTAGGTAAAGGCTTAGTTGAAAATAGACAGTGAAAAGGTTCATTTTGATAATTCACCTGACCTGTTAAAATGAATGTTGATCATTCTTATACATGAAATACGCAATAAAGGACTGAAGATCTTGCTTCTTCTGAATCCTGTGTACAGGCTTAGGCCTCAGAAGATCTCTCCTAGTATGTATGTTGAAATGACTTTTGAATTTATAGGAATCCTAGCAAGTCTCATATACGACATACAATACCCAGTGCAGAGAGGGGACCTGGGCTTCTAGACAGTCCTACAATATTCAACTTTTCTGCTGATCGTTTAATCAATGGCGTCAGGAGTCCACAGACGCGGCAGCCGGGACAAAGCAGGACACGGATGCAGAGTGCTACTACGAGTTACACCAAGAGGGAAGTAGGAACTGGGCGGATGGAACAGACCAGCGTTGACTCGTCTCCTGGACTGGGGAGAGGAAGGTGAGTGCACTCTCTAGTTGTCCTCTGAACAGCCAAGTGTTGCTGCTTTTAAACTACTCCGTTCAGTGCAGAGGTGTGTGGTATTGTGACTGTTTTCAATACTGCTTTAAGATGAGATTGTCTCCTCAAAAATAAAATCTTGGAAAGTACTTCAGAGGAAGTGTTAAATATAGAACAGGTGCAAAGTGGACTTGCATACTTTCCTGCCAGATGAAAATCATTAGTGGCAACTGATGAACGATGTACAGCCGTAAGATCTGATCCTCCCTCCTTTCTTCATCTGGTATAAGAAAGTTTTTGTATATTACTTGCTTGACTTTAAAAAGGAAGTTCTACCCATTCCATTGTTCAGCAGTGCACCTGAACCTCTACTAGCAGTGCTGATTCTTAACCTTTTCAGTTGAAAGATCAGAATTTTGACCAAATTGGACATAGACAGAACAAAGATGGTGGATTGGTGTGGAGCGAAGAAAAAGGGCTACATGCAACTAGGGAAACTATTGTTATGTAGTTTTAAAAAGCAAAGAAACAAAGAAGAAAACCAACTATCTGGGGAGCTGAAAATCAGTGGTACCAATAATAATGTGAGAATTTAACAGGGTTATCTTGGAATCTTGTTAAATACAGTAGGGTTCTAATAAGTGCTTTATAAAAGCATTGTGCAGCTTTGATGATGGCTGTGTTTGTCTCTAAGTAAATCATATTTTGAGTGACTTACTGAATTGGAAGATAAGTTGAATGTTTTGCAGATGATCCTATTTTAGACTTGTATCATTGCAAAATTAAGTGGGGATTTTGTGCAAGTACTGTAATACTTTTCTAAATCTAATTTGCCAAATTGTGTTATAACTAATGGATGAAAGTATGATTAAGAACTTAGGAAACAAGATTACTCAAACTATAGACTACAAAAAATTTACAGGAGTAGTCAGTACTTAGATTTATATTCTGACGTTTCAGTATTTAATACAAAAGAAATTAGAAAATATATTGAAAACAAATTAAAACTCATTGCAGATTTTGAACTCCTGCTTGGAGGGGCTTAACCTGAAACATGACTGGGGGAAAAGTGCTGAAAATGTTTTGGAGGAGCTTTACCTGAACTGAAAATAGTTAGCTATATTTGGAAGGTTACATTGGTATTAAAAAAAAATCCTAAAACTTTTACTTTGGATATTGTAATGTTTCGTCTAACCCTTCTATGTAACCAGCACTGAGATGCTTTTAACACAGGAATTACTTGTAACCAGTGTATTCTTATGCTGACTTGCATAAGATCTGTACCTTTATTTTAATGAGAGGTTGCTAGGAATTTTTCCTTAAAACATTTTTTAATAACCTGTCTAGAATGAAGATGGATAAAATAGCAATTTGAATTAATTTCACTTGGTTTCATTAACTGTCTTCCATTCATTTTTAGGCAAGGTTTTGATTTCTGCTTTCTTTCCCTTAGGAAAAACTCATATGGCTACCGGAAGAAAAGGGAGGACAAGTTTACAGTGAGTGTTTGTGATCTTATTAGTCTATAATAAATGTAGGGTAACAAGGCAAAAATATGGATATTAGGTGGAGTAGTGGGTGACAAAGTTAAAATTACTCTTACAGTAGCAAAAAATTTCCATCTTAGTGTTACTTTGTCGACTTGCCAGTGTTCACATTCAGGGCGAGCTAAACAGCTAAGCTGAAGTTCAAAACACTTAATACTTCATTATTATACATTCATGTAGGTGTTAAAGGACATACATCCTGGTGTCATAATGTGTAGCAGAAATGTTAATTATGAAGTGGTTCTGTTTCTTAAATGCATCTTCAAGAGCCACTTGGTAAGGGTATACTGACACTACTGAACTATTGTGGTTTTGGTGAACTGAAATTCAAGGTTAATACCAAAATAGCCTTGATATACCAATATAGCCTTTGATATTCTACAGCCTTTTCAAAGGCTGTAGAAGAGAATAAACTTTTTTTTTATAGGATTTAAGGTTTGATGTGATAAAACCAGTAATTTCTCTGCAATTCGTTTTTGCCACACTTGGCATGTTCATGAAGTTGAACCAGATTATTTCCTTATTCATGTTACAGTTGTAAAATAACATCACTGCATGAGCCTCTGTATTTGTTATTTCCCCCACTTCCCTCTTGACACACACTTCTTTTGACATAATTTGTAGTTTGTGAAAAGAACTCAAAGGTGGTCTTGTATCTGTTGCTCTTTTTGTCCAGAAGCATTGTTCTCCCATTCAGACCATCTCGACTATATACTCATATTTTCCTTTTCAAAATAGGAGCTGTTTCAAAGAGTGCTTTGCATTTGGCATTTTGTGGCAGAGATCATCTTAGCACAGGCCTGAGCACAGTCAAGAAACAGTTACTTCTTTGTTTGCATGGTGCAGGTGGAGTTAATTGGTAACTTCAGTTACAGCATATTACAAAAGGAATTTTATTTTTTCCGTGTAAATAGAATGTAACTTTATAAATCCTTACAAGCAGTCCTCTCAAGTGATCTTTAATTGTGGTACTTGTAACTCCTGAACTGCTGTCTCTATTGCATAATGGTTGCATTTAGCCCACTGATCTTGGGGGTTTTTTTTGCCTGGGGCATTGTTTTTTCTTCATAGGCTTAGTGACTTTTTAGTGAATTCTCTGTTTCAAAAATAGTTTTGACACTTATCTTTGCATTTTTACATAGTGACCATATAAGTTCATGGTAATTAGATGAAAATTGCTGTTGTCTGTACTACATGCAAGGCATGCTGTCTTGCTGTTTCTTGATAAATCTGAAAATAAGATTCTTGTTGACTCCTGTCTTTTATTTAGAATGTTACCAACTACACATAAATGGGCTTTATATTTTCACTATATCATGACACCTAAACCAGTGTTTTCCTTTCTGTGTCGGTGTGTCTGTCCTGAAGGAAGGGTCTGTGAGAAGACTTTTCTTACTGTACCAGTATCACTAAAGCTTATGCATATGCCATCCCATTTAAATAATAATTACATATATCAAGGGCAGCAGTGGAAAAGGAAATTATCTATTCCTTGGTACTGTGTAGTTTTCTTGGGAGTTCTCTAGGGCTTCCCTGATATAAATCAAGTGCAAAATACAGTTTAGAGTTGCATGTCTTTTCTGTCATCTAGTGCAGTAACCTCTACATGTTATTTCTATTCCAGAGAGGCCAAACACAGTCTCCACCACCCGTAAAACCTCCATCTCCCAGCTTTGAATTGGGTTTATCTAGCTTTCCTCCATTACCCGGGGCTGCTGGCAATTTGAAGACCGAAGACCTATTTGAAAACCGACTGTCCAATGTGGTAATAGGAACATCAAAAGAAAGAGTGAGTAATGGGTCTTCATTTTTTTGGGAAGCCAGCGAATTGCATACCTGTTGTTTTCAGATTTGGTGGCTTATGGGTGGAAATAACTTGTGGTTTTATGTGGGTTGTAAGGAATGCTTTTCAGCTGTCAAATGATGTGCTGCTGCCTTCTTCTCTTACATCTTAGAACTTCTTGCATATTCTCTTTGGTGTGGAGTATGAGCACCAGTATATTAAGTAGATGTTAATAGCAGAGATTAGAAAATATGCTCTTTGCTGTTCTTAACTGCCTCTGGCTTTTTGATAGACTCAGGTGAAAAGTATGTGATACATTTTCCTCCTGTTTGAAAGACTTCTAAGTTGTATATGAAACGCTTTAAAGTGACAGAGACAAACTTTTAAGCACCAAAATAATGAAGCTGCCCACATGATCTCAGTACACACGACATCATAGCTGGAGCAGAAACTGTTACCAAAACCAGCTGGATCCCAGTGTTGTCTTGTCATATTGCTCAGAAAGATAAAAATACACCAGGATAACTTGGCAACCACTGATTTATAGATGTAGTAGAGATGCAGTTGAAAATTAATGTTCAGTAGCTGTTCATAGATTTCATTCTTAGAACTGTCTCTGCCATGCCATCTGTGAGTGACAGTATGTTCTCCTCCAGAAAGACTCATATAGCCCTCTGCACTATGGAACACTGTAGGCTATGGAAGTCTATATTGGCTTTTTTTGCTAGCCCTAATTTGTGTTTTTCTAGCTGTACCACAACTGAAGAAGTTAACCCCTGGATTAGCAATTCAAATCAACCTGGTGAAACACCAAAATTTCTTATGTGTCGTCTCTAAAACCAGCCTGTTGCAGAAGTGTTTTCTTTGGTGCCCACATGTCAGTGGTGGATACGGGGTATTTTCTGGTCAAGGGAAGGGGAAGCAGCAGGGCAGCCTGCACCCAAAGCAGTGACTATACATACACCTATCTGCTCTGTGTCCTGCAAGTGGTAAGAGGGGCAGCTATGTTCCAGGGTTGCATTTAGAGGGAACGTGCAGTTCAGAGCCATGGTAAGAGCAGTGTTTAACTTACTGTCAGTACTACAGATTATAGGCTCTTTTTGACCAAGACTTATGCATTTTTAAGGTATCATACCTCTATTAGTTGTGAAGTGTTTTTTGACTATTGTATTTCATGTTTTAAATATAGTTCCAACACTTGCTATTAGTCCTGCAACTGAAAACCCCTTGTTCCCCCATTACAAATCTAATACTTGCTTTGTACTTATTGTAAAGAACTTACACTTCTCCCCTGTAGAGGCAGTCTTCCTATCAGTCAGGCACTGAGGTTTTGTGATAGTGCAATGCACTGACACATTAAAAAGCTTCAGTTTTCAAGTTTATTTTTCCAGTTTACAGGAGTTATTCTGTACCATTGTACGGAGGAAAGGGATTATGCTGCCTTTCCTTGTTGGCATTTAAATAAAGAATAAGGTAACGGCAACTGGCTCCAAAGAGCAATTGTGTTCTTTTACAAAGGTGTTTGAGCTAACATCAGAATCTTGCCAATGTATACAGTCTGCTTTTCACTTTGATCTCAATATTTTTTCATGTCACCTGATGTAGAGTTACAGAGCACTGAAGTAGAGTTACACAGTGCTGCTCTTGTTTTATACATGGGCAAATTCAATGTACAGAAGCTGAGCAGGCTAAAGTCAATAATTTTCAACAGTAGTTATCCAAGCATCATATCTTTATGCTCTCTGCTTTGTGATGCTCTTCTAGGTGTAGCTCTGGGGAATGGCAGGTGGTAATGATCCCACATTTTGTAACTAGGAAATGCAGCACGTGAGATCAAGGGCTGTTTTGACAAGGAACAGCACTTGCATGTCTGCTTGGCTTGAAACTATTCACACTTAACTGTGTACCTGCAAGTTCTGATGCACTTGGGCCAGAATGCTCAGCAGCTTGCAACTTCAAGCCTTTGCACACACTGTTATAGTAAGTAAAACTGTAGAAGCTATTCTTTTATTTCTAAACATCCACCTTTTACTGTCTTACTTTTGCTTTGAGTCATACTAGGCTTAGATGTACTGCAATAATCTGTGCTGCCTAATTTTAAAACAGTGACCACAGGAGTCTTAGGTTTTATGCCCTTTGAATGGTGGCTGGGCTGGGGGAAAGGAATGACTCTCTTGTTCCTTCTGTGCTTGTGTTTTCCCATTACTTTCCCTTCAACATACCAGAATCTTTTCAGGTTTTAGTCAGACAGGTCACAAGCAGTACAAAGAATGGAGCACCCTTTAAAACAAACAAAATGGTTTTAAATGTGAGAAATATTTTTCAGGATACAGAGTTGTCTTTCTCTTTTCTTATTTTGTGCCAATTTAAATTCATTGTATGCATCTTGAACCTATTTGACCTTTATCTGGAAGTACAATTTGGCACTACACAAGTATCACTTGGCACTAGCAGAATCTTTTGAGGGCTATGGAAAAAACCTCTTTTGCTTGGTACCAAATTGTGCTATAGCATAAGAAAGGGACTTCTAAATGATGGTCAGATCCCCCTTTGCAGAAACTTTTTTTTTTTTAAGGTTTGGGGTTATTAGCACCAGCTATTGGGATGATGCAGTTAGAGCTTTGAAGAAGACAGTTCTAGTGCATGGCTCTAGGAGACTTTTGTCTTCATAGGTTGCCTGTGGTTACATGAACAGATGCAAAGCCTGCTTTGTCACCAGCAGGTGCAAAATCTCCAGGTTGAAAGAAGTCACTGGTTCCAGTTGCTAGTGTTGTTCCCCAAGGCTCAATATTGGAGCCAGTCCAGTTTAATAACTTTAACAGTGATCTGGACAAGGAGATTGAGGGCACCCTCAATTAGTTCACAGGTGACACCAAGTTGGGCAGGAGAGTTCATCTGCTGGAGGGCAGGAAGGCTCTGCAGAGTTATCTGGACAGGCTGGATCAATGGGCTAGGGGGTATGAGGTTCAACGAGGTGAAGTGCTGGGTCCTCCACTTCTTTCAGAACAAACCCTGCAGTGCTACAGGCTGGGGGAAGAGTGTCTGAAAGTGGCCCTGTGGGACAGGACCTGGGTGTTCTAGTTGACAGCCAGTGGAACGGGAGCCAGTGCGTGCCCAGGTGGGCAAGAAGGCCAATGGCATCCTGGCCTGTATCAGGAATAGTGTGGCCAGGGCCAGGGCAGTGATTGTCCCCCTGTACTCAGCACTGGTGAGGCTGCACCTCAAATCCTGTGTTCAGTTTTGGGTCCCTCACTACAAGAAAGACATGAGGTGCTGGAGCATGTCCAGGGAAGGGCTACAAAGCTCATGAAGGGTCTGGAGAGTAAGTCATATGAGAAACAGCTGAGGGAGCTGGGGTTGTTTATCCTGGAGAAAAGGAGGCTCAGGGGAGTCCTTACTGCTCTCTACAACTCCCTGACAGGAGGTTGTAGCCAAGTGGGGCTTGGTCTCTTCTCCCAGGAAACCAGGGCCAGGACAAGAGGAAGTGGCCTCAAGCTGCACCAGGAGAAGTTCAGGATGAACATCAGGAAAAATTTCTTCACTGAAAGGGTAATTAAGCACTGGAACAGACTGCCTAGGGAAGTGGAGGTGTTCAGGAAACAACTGAATGTGGCACATAGTGCCATGGTCTTAGTTGACAAGGTGATGATCAATCAAAGGTTGAACTCTGATCTTAGGAGGTCTTCTTCAACCTTAATGATTCTATGATTCTAACTTAAGTTTGTCAGCCAGGTATGTCCCAAAGGGACCTAAGCTTACAACTTTTTTGGAAACAACCACAATGTGTTATTTATTTGTCTGTGTTTCTAAATAAATGTAAAGGAAAAAAATAACATACTTGTTATAATACATATATTGGCTCCTTCTGTACCTTCCTATAGTTAATTTATCTTTATAAATCAAATTGTGAGCTGTTCCCTGGTTGTGCTAATTTTCAGGCAAACCGTATTAATTGGATATTATGATTGTCCTTCTGTGCCTTTTTTCCTCCTTCAGAACATTAATGTGGATGCAAGTACAAACACTATTCCATCAGGAATTCCTCGAGAGCCGTTGTTACCGGTTTCTTCTACATTGCCCAGGACCTTTGAAAGGTCTCCTTCGCCACCCCAGTCTTCTGAGTAAGCACTTAATTACATGGGTATAATTATTCTGCTCTGAATCACATTTGCATTTCCTTTCATCAGGCAGAACAATGTAAATAGCTATTAAAATCTTAATCAGTGAAAGAAGTAATATTTTGTTGTGTATTGTACTTGTAGTAAAGGCAATAAAGTTTAATTTCTGAACAATATCATAACAGTGACTCAATCATAATAGTCATTTAGCAGACTAAAGTTCAGTGTTGTGTTTTGGTTTCTGCAAGTATTTAGAAGTTTAATGAATACCTTACTGTCTTGTATTTAGCTAGCTCTGAAGCATGGAGAGTAAACCCATGGTCCTGTGGGCAGTACTGATGTCCATACCGTAAAGAAAGTTTTTGTAACACTTTATTTGGAACCTGCAAATCAAATTGAGGTGTTTCAGTATCAGGGGAAAGATAACTGAATAACCAAATGCTATCAGAACATCACGAATTACAGGTAGTGTCAAGTTCCACGGGAATATACTTTTTAAAATTTGATAACATTTTAAAAAGCAATGCTAGTCATCATGTGCTATAGCTACAACTACTTATAGTCCTACTCAAACTTTTTAGACCTATTATTAGATCATTGATCTATCCTGAAGTTTCACTTTTCATGAACCTTGCTTCCTGCTAATGCTTACAGGGACCCCAAGGTTGTGGATAAACAGCAGAGAGAGACACAGAGTACAGAAAGACTTTCTTCTTCCTCACTCAGTACTGCATGTAAATCGGTACAAGTCAATGGGGCTGCCATAGTAAGTGACCTTACTACTTCACTTTTTCTTAATGATACAGTTTGATGCATTTAACAGAGTATTTATTGCTACCCAGTGTTGCTTAATCACGTGAGTCCAGCAACCCTGAATTTGCCCAGCAGCTTTAAATTTGTGTGTTGATGGCTTCATGATCACTTGCGTGATATAATTATGCAATTAACAGTGCAAAAGATAGCTCCTTACCCAAATCCTCTCCTTGGTAGTATACTTAAGGTAGAAGCATTAGTACACATGTTGATATTTAAACAAGAGTATTCATCATCTTTCAACTGGTTTAGAGTTTGTTTGAATGGGAATTATTTTGCCCTATGCCAGTACTCCATTTTTCTGGAATACTGTTTTGCATTTTACCTTGCCTTCTGATTGATTGTCTTATACAACTTCTGTAAACTTCATAATCAAACCCTCATCTGCGTATTTTAGTACAGCAGTCTTTGGGGACAGGGACTTTAGCTTTTTTTGTTCATAAAAGTAAATTAATTTTTTCTCAGGGTGCTTTGTTTGACTCCGTCCTGTTTGCTTCCGATTTCACAGGAACTGCGAAAACCTAGTTATGCGGAAATTTGCCAGAGAACAACTAAGGATCCTCCTACATTGCAACCCCAGAAAGAACAGAAGCCAAACACTGTAGCATGTGGGAAAGAAGAAAGAAAGCCCACAGAAACAATAGAGAAAAACAGAGAACCTCCTCCTGCAAAGTCACATCCTGGACAACCCAAAGACCAGAGGAGACAGTCAGGACGCAGATCGTCCCCTCCAGCCGTTGGCAAACGCTTAAATAAAGAACAGAGTACCCCTCCAAAATCTCCTCAGTGAAACTAACAACTAGGGGGAATTTGAGAAGAGGTCTGCTTCCCACAAATTAAACCCATGTTCCCACTAAGATACCTGAGAATGAGTTGCTGGTTAGGAGCTTGCAGTGATACTGGGCATATAATAATGCCTGCAAGTTATTTTTCTGTGAAGTACTTTTTCCCCTCTTGAACAAACATTCTATTTTTCTGGGTATTTCTGGATAGTTGTTCTAAACCTTACATTTAGATTGGTGCTTAATTGGAGGTGAAGCTTAGTGTGATTTTTTTTTTTCCAAGGTGTAAAATATTTGTCTTTAAAAAAAAATCAACTTTTTATTAAGCCTCTCTGTGGCTGTGTGAGTGCAAGCTCTGTATAGTGAGTTTTTTCTAAACTGTTAAGCAGAAATGTGCTGCTGCAATATTTTTAATAAACAGGTCTGCAAGTACATATCTAAAGTGTCCAAAAGACTGATAACGGCAGCTAGTGTGTAGAGTGCAAGGAGGTAGAACATATTTTACAAATTAGTATGTGACCTTGAAGACTTTTTTTTTTTATTGGGCTGCTGTACTAAGTGTCAGCAAATGAACTTGCACTTTTAGGTTAAATGAGTAGCTGTTTCTAGTATTTTTTAAAAAAATAATCTTTTTTTGATGTTTTGCACACACAAAATTAATTCTACGGGGCACCATAGCAGTCTTTCTAAAATATTTCCTTTTTTTGACTTACTGCAAGCAAGTAACCATCTTCTCACTCCAGAATAAAACTGATGTTATAATTTGCAAATACAAAGCACATTGTGAATAGAAAGAATCAAGTCTGTGAGCTTCTATGATGGTGAAGCCTGTTAGTGAGTGGATGTTATCAGGAGAAAGCAGTGTAGCCTTCTTGTGATAACTTTAGCTTCCCTGTGCTTGTAAGGGAGTTAACTGAGTCAGCGCTGTATATTCTGGTTACCCCTGTGCTCTGTGTAGACTTTTTTTTCAGCTCTGCCCCAAGTGCTCTTTGAAAGAGTTCATATCTTAGTCAGCCTTGTGTTGACATCTTCCTGTAACTACGAGCATTGGCATATGGATTTAAATTTTTCAAGACGTGAGATAGTGGTGTTTGTTTTGTGTGGTGGAGGAAGAGATCCCTGATATTTACCTCTGGGATGAGGTTTCTCACACTTATTTACTTTAGAAGTGATGCGCTTTCTGAAGGACAAGGATGCACTAAATTAGCAAGTTTCTAATAAAGTTGAATATAAATTATTTTTGTTTTAAGATGCCTAAAGTTTTTCTTTAAATGTTTAAACTGCAGGAAGTTCAGACAAAACTCATTCCTGCTGACTATGACAGTACAGTTTATTCCACAAAAATGTTTATTTAAACAACTGATTTTTTTAAAGAATTATTTCCATCCAATATTTAAAGACTTGAATTTTATTTAAACTTGAAAATGACTTTGCCTTAACTTTTGTACAAGACAGCTTAGAGTTAATGAGGTCTGACCCCATGGAGGGTTAGCATGAATGGAATACAGAATTACTCAGTTACAGTATGTATCTATTGTCACTGGTCTTACTGGGTAAACATACTGTAGTACAGGAACTAGCAGCAGTTTTTGTAATATACCTTAAAGATCTTAAACAGTTGATCTTTTTCAGATTGTTGAAAAACCTGTAAATGCAAATAGTCAATACTGTATTAAATATGTGCACTTGGAAGTGTGTGCTTTGCTTGTACAGTTGTAAATAATCAGAACATATAAAAAGGTACCCTAAAGAAAAAAATCTGATAAAAATTATTGATATTATAAATGTTGCTGTTGAGCTGGATGTAGATAAACTAAATGTTGTGGTTTGAATATTACTTTAATTCGTTGTTTTTTCTTTTTCTTATTTTATTCTGGTGTGTTGAACTGACTCTGCCTCTTCACTGCAAAAGGGAAATGGAACGAAAGTCTTATTTGAAAGCCCTCAAATGTTTTCCCAAAGTCCCTCTAAAAACAAGCGATTTAACCAATTCAAAAGTGTTCTGCAATGTAAATAATGAATTTCAGCAGTCAAACTGTAATTTTAGTCTTTAATAAAAATCAAGTCTAATTGGGGAAAAAAACTTGACTGCTGCAAAAATATACACTGAAGCTTACTTGTGTGCTTTCAAGAGTATCAGTGCATGATTCACAGAACTGTAAAGTAACTATAGAAGTCGACTCCTGATAAATCTCCTATTACAAGCATCGATTGGTAACTAGTTGACATTTTAAAATCCAGCCTGTTGTATGCTGCAGAATTGGTCAAAACAGGGCATGCCGGAGTCTGTTGATTTTTTTTTGTTTGTTTGTTTATTTGTTTGTTTGTTTAAAAAGCGCACTTTGTGAATGCTGTGGGAGGAGATAAGACCCCGACAACATCACCAAAACCGCTCAACTAGTTCTGTCATTGGATTTATTTTTTTTTAATACTCTTCTCCTTTCCCCAGCAGCAGTGAACACGGTAGCTAGATTTGTGTATGGTTTAGGCCAGCTGTATGATTCATTTTGTTTGTCTGCTGCAAGTGAAAGGCTTTCCAGCTGCAAACAATCGCGAGTGGTTCCTTACAGCGACTGTGTACGGCTCGTCATGATGCTCAGCTGGTACCCGAGGTGATATATTGAGACCAGCGGGGTGTGTTGTGCTGTTCTAATGTATTCTGCTGCCATTTGTGCTAGGTCAATACACTGTAATTACTGCTTACCCAGCAACAGTCTGTTGCACCAAAAGTTTAAACCTTCCTCTGACGTGGTTTTTATAGCTTTTTTTTAAAAAAAACGAGGTGACACGCCAAATCGCTGTGTAACATACCATACAACTTCTCCTTACTGCATTTTACTTTGAGATTTTCTTCTTTTTTTTTTTCCCCCCCCCCACTCAGTGACAAAATGGAGTTTTCGGAGTAGAGTTGTGAAGTTGCATGCAGACTGTTGCTACGATACAGAGAGAGATTAAAATGTGGCTTTTAAAATGAAAAACCTCCCAAAAGCAGTAGCTGAGTTAAAGGTTCAGGGATGCAGTAATTAAAATTGGCATTTTACCTTGTAGGACTGTGTAGTGATGCTTTTCATTTTGAAAACGAGTCAAAATGGGATCTGAGACTCTCATTCCAGGAATTTAAAAAAAATGAAGGTTGCTTTCAAAACCAAAGGTTGTTTCAGATCAGTCCCTCACCATGACACTGTCACTCACAGCTTGGAAATCTGTGAACAGTGGCAATTTTTTTTACCTTGCTGCATTACCCTTCAAAGCCCTGAGCAGTTGGCATGGAAAAGGCCCTTGTTGGAACATGGTGCAGTGTATCACAAGCAACAGCTGACTGTAATGGTGCACACCTATCTCTGTATCTCCTTCAGTACTACAGGTAGGGACTTTTGTGCTTTGTAACCGATTACACTAATAGCAGCAGACAATCTGAGATTCCTAAGGAGACCTAACAGCTGCCAATTCATGAAACAGAAGTGTAATATGGGAGCCTTTTTGAGGGTTTTTGTTTTTGTTCTTCCATTAAGACTGGAATCAAGCTTACATGTAAACTATCAGTAATTTAAGTTTCCTTTTGTGTCATAAAATGTAAAACTGTCTAATTTGAAAAAAAATATGTAGGTTATGAAAAATAAAGATTTAGGCACTGTTGAATTCCTGATTTTTTTAATTAAACCTTTCTTCAGCAGTATTTTTCATTACCTTTTGTCTTTCGCTCCCATTTTTGGAAATTGTATATTTCTAATTTTGGGAAAAAATGTTTGCTTGCTCTCCTGCTTAACACAGCTGTTGTAACCATCACCTAAGGCTATGTAGCAGCAGCAGAAACCCCTATAACATCTCTGAAAGCAGCAATATCTATCTCTATTAGAGAGCTATGACTGGTTAATGTTTTTAAAGCAAACAAAAAAGCTTATGTGGTCTTTTGTTTACTGGAGGATCTCTTCATTAGTGGTTTCATCAAATTATTAGATAAGGTGTTGGTTTGGTCTTAAATATGTATTTTAACATTTGGGTTGGTGCTTTGGTTTCATGGCTCTCAAATATGGAGATGTCGTGGACTTATTTTTGACTTTAGATGACTTCAGAGATTATTCTGGTCTTGCCTCTAGGAAAGAAAAGCTTCTGGGATATCCTTTCTCTACATAAAAATATATTTTGGAAATGCACCTTTTTTTTTCTTTTAAGGTTTGTCTCTCATTCAGCTGTATCTGAACAAGTTTAGCAATGGATGTAAGCGTGGAAGTATTAACAGTTACTGTGTTCTATAAGCATCTTGGGAATTATTGCAGTATTATTGCTCAGGCTGGTTGTTCTGTAAGTTCCTGGACAGGTTAAGCTGCTTGCTGATTTACTTCCCCACTGCTATCAGCAGAGTAAGGCAACAGGAATACCAGCATACACTGGGCACTGTGAGCTTCTCCATGTTAGGAAAGTCAGTTAAACTTTGGGATTTGGTGATGACCTGGACTGCAAGTAGTTGAAGGCAACCAGTTTCCACTTCAGCATCCTGTTCTGCCCTTGGGACAAAGTTTTCTACCACTGTGTAAAAATGCATGGAAATTTGTCAGCAATGTTGCCATAAACCTGGTGTGGCTCTCGGGAAGCACCCCAGCTTTGACAGAAATTGGGGGTTATTTGTTCACACAGCAAACTGGGCAGTGTCCCCTTAGTGACAGTTTTCACCAGAACAAGGTGATGTTCGGTGATGGTTGCACCAGCATTCATGTTGAACACGTGATTTCACTTCCTCTTGGCCATGATGAGAAAGAGTGAGTATGGAAGATTACATGCAATTGAGCATCCAGAGATTACATATTGTCACAGAAACTGTGATTCATTGCACTTTGATCCCAAGGCTTCTTTAGAAAAAAGATTTTATGAAGTTTTAAGTTTTCTAATACACTTTTACTTCACAGACCTTTCAGTTAAAACCTCCTGGTATAACTGGGCTTTTATGGGTGCAACTTAAGTCAGGAAGTGATTGAATTTCAAATTTTGCTGGTTTATAGATGAAAATAATGTTACACACTTCATCTCTGCTTCTGAGAGAATAAGCTGTGTAACAACCTGGTGCCATCCAGTTACTGCAGCATCCACTCTCAGCATGCATATAGATCCTGCTTATATTTCAATGCCCAATGTAAGCTGATCAGGTAGAAATTTAACTCCTGTTGGAGTGGCACATGAAACACCGAGCTGTTATGCCAAATAAGCACAGAAATCCTGTAAAGAGGCTGGCCGGCCTCAGCTGTGTCACGTCCATCCTGCCTGTCTGCTCCCTCACATCAGCACATTGGCTGGTCTAAAAAGTAACTGAGAAAGGATTTCTTGGAATAGGTCCCAAGCTGTTGTTGTACCATCAGCAGAATGGAGGAATGGACTGGAATGCACAACTGATGTCCACAGGAGACTGGCACTGGTCCTGGCAGGAGCAGTGTTACAATCAGCTGAAGTAAACTCAGCATTGGTACAATTGGCTTACAACAAATGGAAGGTAAAAATCTTGGCTTAAGTGCAACCTTGCTCACTCTGCTGAACGTGGTTCAACTCATCAAGCTTCGTCATTTTTGAGCCCTATTTTGACAGTGGGGAGGAGAAAGAGTCCAATTTCTGCTTTAGCCTACTTGGTTATTATCTACAAGCTGTAAATGTGCTAAATCTTAGTCATAGACTATGAGGAGTCTGTGCATTGTCCCCTCACAACTCTTTTGGACACAGTTCACTGTTTTGCAAAAGGGATATGTGCTGGGGGGAGGGAGTCGAAGATAAAATCACTCCCTAATCTCTCTTAAATTCTCATCAGTTTTGAAAGAGTAAGTGCTTTGTGTGCTTGTGTTACGCACATAAGGTGCAGAAACCATCCTGCAGTCTGATGGCTTCACATCCCATTTGCTGTAGGCAGGCGGCGTCTGCAGAGCAGTAAATCTACCGTGGCTAAGGATGCTCTGAGGAAGGAGGGATAAATGGAAGAATTGAGAGTTGTAAAACACACCAAAACTGGATGGATCTAAGAAATCTACATGGATGGAATCAGTGGTACATAATGAAATGTGTCTAATGTCTTCCAAAACAAAGTCATATGTATGCCCTCCACACAGCTTGGCATGTCAGCCCAGGTAGAACAAGTGAGTGAAATTCAGGAGGTCCAGCCTGTTGTTTCCAAGGCTGGGGGTGTTTTCCAGGAACCTACAGCTCATAGGCTGGAGCATGCATGAGAAACCTTTCTCATTTTGCTCATTTTCTCCAACGTCAATGTACTTAGCTCAGGTTTGGGATGTCAGCAGAGCTGGCTCTGCACAGCAGAGGCTTGAAGCCCCCACACGCCAGCCCTGCGTGGCGGGGAGAGAGGGGAGCTGAGTGCCTCTCCAGCAGGAGGGTAACAGGATGCACTGTGGTGGGAACAAAGGTTTGGAGGTGGGCAATTAAATAGGCTCTGTGGGGGAGAAGGCCTGTTTCCTAAATGGAATTTCTTGAGTACCCGTGGTGTCTGTGGCCAGCCTGGTGTTACAGAGTCTCTTACTCAGTGAAGAATGCAATTTCTATCTTGTTGCCCTTTAGAAATGGGATGTGTAAAATTCAATCCTTTCCCTTCTCCTGGTATATTTTCCTCTCTAGTGATTCAGTGTTCTCATTCTTGAGAGCTGCATTGCTTGTGGTAGATGGTAGCTGTTGATCTCCACTTCTAAGAATTGCACCTATTTTCAGAAATACAATAGGCTCGACATTTTGACTCATTTTAGTTTGCAGGAGTTTTGTGTTTTTGTCCCACTTATTAAAGCAAATTTGGCACTCAAAGGAGAATTATCTAGGTACGTGTCCAAAACTGTAACGTATACAATAAATTCAAAAGAGTATGCTCTATCTTTGAATATTTATAGTTGTTGCTGGGTTTATGATGTTTGTCAGATACTAAGTTCGTTCTACGTTTGCTGGAGTCTGCGTGCTTCCTACATGCTGGCAAATGCTGGCTCCATCTTCTCAGGTATGACTCATACTGCTGCCAAGGGAAGATGCCTGCCTTGAAGCTATGGCAAATAAGTGCTGGAGAGACCTGTTGATTTGGACAGTAGACACTGAAATGACAGATTTGCTGGAGTGATTTTCTCAGTGGATTTTACTGCTTGGACTGGCAATCAAATGCTTCCTTGCTAGCAAATCCTGTTTCAGATAAACCTTTGTATTTTACTTTTTATTTGAACTAGTGCTTCCCATGGAGACAGAAGCTCAGCCATGCTGGCTGCCATCCTGAGTGTTGAATGCATGCTTTCATCCCAGGCTAGGAAATCTGAGGGCAGCCACACTGGGTTGGATACATGGAAGTTATGTGCCAGGTTTAAAGTACATTGAACTTGAAAATAAAAAAAGGCAAGAGATGCTCTGTGGAATTGTTTTAGTTCCAACATGGAAAAGGGGTTATAGGTACCCTAAGTGGTTCTGGAATGGGAAGGTAGGGAAGTAAAACAGAGCTGGACTTAGCAAATCGTGCAAGCAGCGCACCACATGCTTCAGTGTTCAACTGTAGCAGGTGCTGCTGTCTCAGTGGTTCTGACATCCCAGGGCACAGCAGACATAAGCACTGATTTGGTGTGAAAAGTCACTACTTTGTTTCTACATTAAATGATGTAGAATTGCCTGAAATCAGGTGTACAATCCCCTTTTCCTGTGACTTAAAGCTGTAGTTTCCGTTGAGGGTTGCTCTTTTAATTGTAAGAGAGTGAGTTGCTGATGTCCATCTACTTTATTGCTGGCCATGGTATATCAAAGATTTGGCTTGTTGAGTGTTGCAGGCTTGGTGATCTCAGCAAGGCTGGAGAAATCTTACAAGGTTCCACAAAGGGACATGCCCAATTCTGCACCTGGTGAGGAATAACCCCACACACCCAGGGGTGACCAGCTGGAAAGCAGCTTTGTAGAAAAGGGCTTGGGGCATCTGGGTGGGCAACAAGTTGGATGTGAGACAGCAATGTACAGAGTATACAAAACGAATGGCATCGTGGGCAGCCCTAGGAGGGACATTGCTAGAAGATTGAGGGGAGGTGATCCTTCCTCTCTGCTCAGCACATCTGGGGTGCTGGGGCCAGTGCTGGACTCCCTTGTCCAAAAAAAGTCATGGACACATTGGAGTGAGTGCAGTGAAGGACTGTGAAGATGACCAAGGGATTTGGAGCATCTGTCATATAAGAAGAGCATGAGAGCTGGGACTGTTCGACCTGGATAAGCAAAAGCTCGGGGAGATCTTGTCCATATGTACAAATAACTGATGGGGAGCAAAAAGACAGTGGTGACATATTCTTCCCAGTGGTGCCCAGTGACAGTTCAAGAAACAGTAGGCACAAACCGAAACAAGGAATTCTGTTCAGACAGAAGAAAGCCCTTTGATTGTTCTAAGGGTAATTGAACACTAGTGCAGGTTGCCTAGAAAGGTTGTCTCCATCCATGGAGATGCTCATTCTCACCAAACACAGCCTCACCTGATCCACAGCCACCTTCAGGTGTTTGGCAGCATTTCCAGGGACATCTAAATGTTTTCTGACTTGATTCAATTTCTCTAAGATCTGGTGATTTTAAAACTCCTGTGCATGAGGAAGAAAACAGCAGGCTGAGCCAGGTGATTGTAGGGGCTTCTCACGCTCCATGGAGTCTTGAGCACC